GCTTGTGGCCACCTGGGCTCCGCTCAGAGGTGCCAAGAGATAGGACAAGAGCAACGGGCAGAAACATGCACAGGAAGTTCCACCAAGAGATGAGGAAGAGCTTCTTCAGTGTGCAGTGACGGAGCAGCAGAACACAGATCAAAGAGGGCGTGGAGTGTCCCTTTCTGGGGATATTCCAATCCTGTGCCTCGTGCTCTGGGATGACCCTGCTAGAGCAATGATCCCACTGTGATCCCTTCCAACCTGGCCCGTTCTGTGATATAGACACACAGCAGGACCTTGCCTCATTAGGACACTTGTACTCTATTGAATTTATTTATTATATTTTAATAGAGAAATTACTTCCGTGTTCCTCCCGGCAGAGCCCCGCCACAGAGAGCCCTGTGATCTCACACAGGTGATTCAGGTGCCTCGTGCTGGTGAACAGCAGCTTTTGGAGGACACGTGCCTCACATCTGCCAGGTACTGCTTATTCTCCTGACTGGGCACTGCCACAAAATTAAAGATCAAGACACACGTGGTGAGAGTCCTATGCAGGATCCCACTCCCATCTGAAAATGCCTCACAGTGGTATTTCAGTCTAAATATCTCATGTATCATATTTCTGGAGCTCTAATTCGCCTGGGAAGGACTAATTAATCTCATCACCTCCAGCACAGCCACACTAATCGCTCACCTTCAGCTGCGAGGTGCATTCCTCACATGCACAGCTTATTGACTCACTGAGGCACTACAAACACCTCAGCGAGGGGAAGGAAATGGGTTTGATCTGAAGCTCCGAGCTCCAGAACCTGCAGCGCCTCTCCCAACCCGCCGAGCCGGTGCTCGGTGCCCAGAGCAGCAGCAGGTCGGTCACACCGCGTTCTCAAAGGGGCAGCGATAAAGCAGAGCAGCCACTCGGCTTTCCCGCCGATCACCCCAAAGGTCTGTTTGCCCAGACTGACAATTTTTAACTCGGAACACCCATGCCAAATATGCTCCATGCCTTTCCTTAAGTCAATATTGCCTCTAACATGGGACGGGGCTGAGGCACGGCCAAAAGTCAGCACCAACCCCGAGCAGCTCCCAGAACTTTTAGGAGCGTTTTTGTCCCGGGGAAGAGACCCCACCAGAGCTGCCCACCACCGCTCCTTTCCCAAGGCATGCTGTGGGTTATCAGCACGTTGGAAACCCCTCCTTTCCCTTCTCCGCACTCAGGCAGCGCGACTGGCACGGCTGCCCGCGGCCCAGGGGCGAACAGGAAAGGGCGTGGTGGCGGTGCCACATCGCATGAGCTCCTGGTGCCCAGGGGTTTGTGCTCTCCCCACGCTCACACCTGCCTGGAGCTCCTAGAGCACTCCCAAAACCATCCAGACACTCTGCTAAAAATAGAAACAGGACTGCGGGACTCAAGAACTAACCAGAGCCCCCTCGGAGCTTTACAAACACCAGCGTTTCCCCTTTCTCCCCCATTTCCTGTCTGTATCTGTTCCATCTGTCCGCACACTCGGCTCACAGGCTCCCCTGCCAGCCGGGTTTGTGCTGCTGGGGACACCAAACCAGTTCTGAGTGTGCCTGAGCCTCAGCAGCCCTCCCCAGGATGGTCTGCCCTGCCTCAGTGCTGCCTCAGCACGTCCTGCTCGGAGCTGAGTGCCCTCCCAGCACAGCCCTTCCACATCGGGCAGTGCAGGCACCAACACAGGGCACAGGAACCCCCTGAGCAGGAGCCAGTGGGTAAAAAAACCTGCAAACTGCAAAACTTTAACTCGTTCTGTGGTCAAAACCGGGATCTCAAAGCTGCGGCTCCCTCCGTGCTAATGCCTCCTGTTTAATAGGAGCCTGCTGGAGACACCCTCTGCTGTCATCTCTCAGGCATTCAGTGGGAACCCGAGGGAGGAGGCTCAGCTTTAAGGAATGCCATGTTTCCCTTACAAACGCAGAAACTTAACTGTCTCCGCCCCAAGGAGCTGTCAGGGAAAGTGTAAAGTTCCCTGTTGTTGTTGGCTCCTGCTTCTATCGGAGCTGTTGTTCTCCTCACAACTCCCTCAGTGCTTTGTACTCGCTCAGTTTTGGGGAGAGATCGCTGCCTCCTGCTTGCTCAGCACCAGCTTTTCACAGGGCTGCTGACAGATGGGCCGTGTTCACTCTGCTCTTCTTTCCACTCGTAAGAAAGAGGGGGGAAAAAGAATTCTGGAGCTCAGCTTATAAACAGGAAACTCATTGTGTGAAATTACTCAACGACACTGAGAAGAGCTGTATTGTACCTTGGCCTCTGAGCACAGGACACATCAACACCCCTCATCGGGGACTGAGGGCTCTCAGGTTTCTGTACCTGTGGTTTCACACAGCTCTCTGAGGATGGTTCTAGAAGCCCGAGAAGGGGAACAGCTGTCAGGAGCGAGCTGGCAGAATGAGGCTGCATGAGGTACTGGCAGATAAAGCTCTGCTCCTTCAGTTTTATTTAGAAAAATGAAGTAATTAACCCTGCCTGTCAAATAAGTCTCTACAACTAAGTGTTAAGGTTCAGAGGCCACCAAATGTGGCAGAAACAGCATGAACACACCTTACCCTGCCTCTGCTCTGAGCAATTCCCAACGCAGAGCTCTCAACCCCTGCTACAGCTCCTTTTCCTTTGGGGCTTTGCTGCCAAATCCCAGCTGCTTCTTTTGGTACAGGGGCCTATTCCTGCCACAGGACACAGAGTCCCTGTCAGGGCTCCCCTAACACCTGAACACTCTGAGCTGCCTTTTCACTGCGCCCAAGCACTGTCCCCTCACACAGCAGCTGGTTGTGGGCCCCAACACCGCCCACACCTGAGAGCACTACAGACCCTGACAATGCAGACAAACACGCACACAAACACCTTTAAACTAATTATGGCCCTGACACTTTTCCACACACACACCGGAGCCTGATATGGCCCCAACATCCATTCCCCATACTGAGACCACTGCAGACCGCAGCATCCCGGCACACACCTGAGCTTTCCACAGCCCCTAAAACCACTATGGGTCCATAAGCCCCTCACACACACACCTGAACCTGCTATGGGCCAACCAGCCCCGCCCACACCTGAGACCACTATAGGTCCTGACACCCCTCACACACAGCTGAGCCTCGGCACGAACAGCCACAGCCCCAGCTTTCCCATGCCCCTCACGGCGCTCCCGCCATTGCCGTCCCTCAGAGCCCGCTCCCTCCGCGGCACCGCGCAGGCGCCTCAATCGAGCACCGATGGCTCGGTGAGGCGGCGCCGCTCAGCGGCCCGGCCTGAACTGCCAGGCGGTTCAGCCGAGCGCCGAGCGGGGCCGGGCAGGAAGCGGCGGTGACGGGCACGGCCCGGCGGACACGCTCCGTCCCCCTCTCCTCCTTCTCCTCCTCCTCCTCCTCGTTCCTCCCCGCCCGGGCCCCGCGGACGTGGCCCGCTGCCGCCGGCCGGCACCAGGTGAGGCACCGGCAGAGGGAGCGGCGCCGCTGACAGGCGGGTCGCGGCGGGGCGCGGAGGGCAGGGGGCAGCGCTGGGGCTGGCAGCGCGGTCGGGGCTGATACCGGCACTTCTCGGCGTTCGGGGCTGGTTAAGGCACTTTGCGGGGCTCGGCTGTCCCGGGTGGCTCACGGCAGGGGCTGCTCGGGGCTGGGGCAGCTCCCGCGGGGCTGTGAGTGTGGGCTGTGCGGTCTGAGAGAGCCAGGACGGGGCAGCTCCCCGCACCCGTGCCGGGGCACCGCGACCAGCCGCTCCTCCCTTCCCTTCTCCCCTCGCTTCCCTTCTCCCTCCGTGCCTTCCCTCGCTGCCGTGCGCCGGGAGCTGTCCCCGGGCGCTCTCTGCAAGTGGGAGCTCCAGCAGAGCAGCCCCGAGCGGACGCGAACGCCCCGGTAGGAGCGTGGGGAGCGCAGGGAGAGCGGGCGCTGCCTCCACCTGGGGCCGGGCAGGGCTCGGAGAGCGGCGCTGCCCCGGGATCGCCCCGGGATCCGTCCGAGCCGGTGGATCCCGGGGAGGAAGAGGGAGCTGCGTTCCTGTCAGCTCTGAGCGGAGTTGGAAGCAATGACGTCGGTGCGGTGCGAGCAGATGTCTCTGTCCTTTTAATGACACCCAGAAATGGTTTGCTGTAGGTGCTGGATGCCATCGAGCAGCACTCGTACTTGCGTGGGAAGGAGAAGGAAGGAGGACACGAGGCAAGTACTCAGCCTTCAGAATTCTGTTGTATAAATACATCTCCTCGTGTCTCCTCACCCCCCTTCCCCAGTAACGTGAGTGGAATGAATTCCCTAATCCTACAACTATGGCAGTTCTAAACTTCGGTAGCCCTGGTTGATTCCTGGTTTTCCCTGCTCCCTTCCCGAGCCTGGGCAGAAGTGCCAGCTCGGAGCTGGGTTTGCTGTCCCCAGCTGGGGGAGAAGCCCGTGGGACACTGAAGCTCTGGGAGCTCTGTGCAAGGCTGGGCTCACACACAGCCCAGCCCAGCAGCAGCTCCGTGTTTGTTTAAAAACAGCCAAGCAGGCGGTGCTGATTCCAGCCTTGCTTGTGCCGGGAGGATTTGGGATCTCCCTGCCCGTCTGTGTGGACAGTGATCCACGAAAGAAAGTGGAAGCCGTCGGGTTCTGCATCCACGTGGATGCAGTTCCACAGGGCGATTTCAGGTTGCTGGGTGCAGCAGTGCTGGCTGAGGTTTGTGGTGCTTATGTTGTTTAGAATAAGTGGGTTCCACTCTGCTCCCCAAGGTCTGCTGACATATTTTAGCAAATGTTTAGAATGCTGCGGTGCTGGCAGTGCTGCAGCTTGTTTTGCCAGTGGTCATTACTGTGGTGTATCCCGTACCAGATCTGTGAGGGGACACGTGTTGGTGTTTCTGTGTTGATGGACTGTTTGTGGAGAGCGATAATACACCATGCCTGTCCTCTCTATGAGCTTAAAATTTGGCTATTTCTGGTAGGTAGCTATTTTTGTGTTCTCAGGGGCTAATGTAACAATATAGGGCATGTTTTAAATGTAAATACCTGTCTGTAATCTCTCTTTTAACACTGAGCTTCATACAGATATCTGACAATTCTTCTGTGCACCCACAGTGAGGCTGCAAGCTGTTCCTATCTACATAAATGTCTCATTTATCAAATCCAGATTTCTTATTTGCTGTCCAACTCATCATATAACTTCCTCTGGCATCTGATTTGAGGAAACCTTGAGCTGGGTTGTTTCCATCCACCCTTTTGTGTACAAGGGCTTTCAGATTGCAAACTAATTCTTGTTTGTGTGTGTTTGTGTTACTTACAGTGATTCTCTCTAAGCACTTCCCTTTTACTTTGTTGCATCATTATCAGTTAAAAAGGATCTTACCAGTCAAAGCTTTTAAAGATGAGGTATTTCTACTTGTGTGCATTCTTAACGTGGCTCCTGCATCAACAGGGTTTTACTGTTAGATTTGTTTTCTATTATGTGTTGGTGGATGGGGGAAACTTTCAGCAGGAGTGAGCTCTGTTCCTTCTGAGTAACCTGCTGTGTTCTTTTAAAGGAAAAGCCCTGTTAGGATGGAGCAGGGCTGGAGTTTGCTGGGCTGCTGGGGAGCAGAGGAGGAGCAGGGCAGTGGCCAGAGAGTTTGGAGCAGGAACACAGACTCGTTGTGTTCTCCTCTTACAGGTTTTTGTTCCAGGTTGCTCTGCAGCCTCGTGGGATGCTGCAACATCCAGGTTATGAGGAATGCCAGGGAGGGAGGTGTTTGTGGAACACTTTACATTTCATTTATTTGTTGCTTTTGCACAAAAAAAAAAGGTGTCTAAGGTTAATGATTTTAAATAGGAAATACATCTTTTGTTTTAGGACAGAGCTCAGAGTCTTTTAACAGGACCCCTCTACAGTTCAGTCACAGCATTTACACCAAACTGAGTTTGAATAAAAGTGCAGTTTTGGCATCCAAGGTGTTCAAAAAGTAGATTTTTATAAAGTTCTCTTTCAGCACATGCTCAGCTTTATTAATGGATGTCCATTAATAAAGCTGAGCATGTGCTGAAAGAGAACTTTCACACATCAGGGAAAAATTCAAAAAGTGAACCCAAAAGAGTATTTTGTTTCATGCTTACTGTTTTCAAACGACTTCCTCATTTGGAGGCCATTGATTAAACCAGAAGGATCTGCTTGCCCTTGGCTGTGTAATAAACATGATGCAACTGCCTGGTGCCTGCTTGGTCATCAGTTCTTCAGGGGCAGCTCAGTGAGTTTCCCTGACAGTGTTTTTATCACTCCCTGAAATCACTCTGGCAGCTTTGTTCTCATTTTCTGAGTGAAGTGTGTTTTAGAAAGTATTGATCTGGTAAATTTAGGGTTCCCTCTGGGTAAAAAAGAAGAAAATCTGATTTTTACACGGGCAGCACAGGTTGTGACTTTTCGTTGTGATTGTGTAGTGGCATTGTGTGCCAGGAACTGTCATCTGTGAGAGTCTCAGCTCCTCATTAACGAGGGGAAAAGCTGAAATAGGAATTAAAGTAAATTAATTTGGTGTGGTCATCCATCTCTTAAGGTACCTAAGGATGTTGGAAATCCAAATTATTAATGGTACTCTGGCAGCTTCTCAATTGTTATAAAGCCCCACTTCCAGCATTAAAGAGCAACGTTCCTAAAATGACATGTTGCCCTTATTCTGTAGAACTAAACCATGAAATATGAAAAATATATTTTTTAAAAGACCAGTAAGTTTTGCTCTAAGATTCAAGAAATCTGGAGTACTGCTAGTATTAATTTTAAAAGTACTTTCAATTTATTTAAATGAATTAAATACTAAAATTAAGTTGGCTAATAAGTTGTTCTTACTCAGGATGGCAAAGTACACATTGGATTTGAGCAGGTTGGAAGATTTCTTGTCCATATACTCATGTTCGTGTCACAAATTGTTAGTTTAATTTGTAAGGGCAGGGAAATTTCAAATTTAATATAGGCAGCTTACAAAACAAGTTTGTCTGAGTTGCTAATGAACTAGGCACTTATGCCCTTGGACAGGTAATAGCTTGATGTTGATGTAATTACTTTTTTTCCCCACCCTGAATATTAGGTCAAACTGGACTCTGGTTGATTTAGAATTTAATGACACCAGTCATTCTGTGGGAGCCTGTGGTCACTCATGGTCCCTCCTTGGCCACTAAAGGTTTTCAAATAGGGACATTCTCCCAGAATGGTCTCCATTTGTGCCTCCTCCTGCTGTCACTGTTAATTGTGATGCTGGGTTACCTGAGAGCCTAAGGAATTCCTCAAAAGATGGGCAAATATTGACATTGGTGTTGCATGAGTTTGATTTGGGATGAACAGGTTTGGTGCTGCAGTCTTTTGGGAAGAGAGAGAAAAAGCTGTTTTTAGGAAATTGTTACTCTGAGAGTGGCGATGTTAACCCAAAATCCTGGATAAAATTCCAGCTGCATTCCCCTGGAGTCTAAAACACACACTTGGGTTTGGTTTGGGTTTGTTACTTTTCCACAGAAAATTCTTCCTGTATTTTCTGCACCCAGGATCCCTGTGGTGCAGAACCTGGCGCTGGGAGGAATGGATCTTGCATGCAGTGTGTGTATTTCCACACATATCAAACAGTTTAGGATGAAATATGTTGGGACTACCAGATACCATCAACATTTTGTGAGCAGGATGTCATTATTAGATTGGAACTGATGAATGTCAAACATTGTGGTGAGTCTGTTTTCAGAGAGATGCAGACTGTGCTCACTTCCTACATTAAACCTCATTTTCCCCTAATTTTTATGTGTGAGCTGTGATTCTGTTGCACAGAATCTGGCATAATATTGAGCAGATTTATTTAGTGTTGCCCTTGAACGTTGTGAGTGTTTAAGCCAGATTTACAGGAACACAGTCAGTGATGATTCATGTTGAGATGATGTTTTTCTCCCTTGTAATGGAACATATGGGACTGTGTAGCATATGGTACCACTGAAAATTGTTAAATGTGGAGCACTGATTTATTACACAGCAAAAAGGGTTGGGGTTTTCAGTCTAACACTGAGCACAAAGCTTGTAAACAGTTCTGGCTGTTGGTTTGTGTTGGGTGCACTACTGTGTTGTGTGGTAATTTGAAAGGATTTCTTTAAATGGCAACAGAATGCTTCCAAAAGTTGTGTGTCTGCCCTTTTACTGTGTTACAGCCTTGCTCTGTGGGATGACAGCTTAAAAAACCTGGAAAAAAAATAAAATATCCTTTCTCTCTCAGATGGGAAGCAGAGGTATTAAAATTTGTAAATATTTTTCTTCCAGTCTTACTATCCAAAACACCTTCCTTTTGTGTTTTGTTTGTGTTACTTTGTCTTTATGTGACTTCTGGAGTGTTGGTTTATGTTTTTATACTGAGGCAGGGAGAAGAAACAAACACACACCTTGTTCCTTGCAGTGCACAGGGGAAAGTGGACTAAAGTGCAGCTGCAGAGAACATAAATTCCAGTCGCCTATTTCCTTGTGCTCTCCTGTTTTTCTTAACTCTTCATCTTTGGATGGTTGTGATCTCTCCAGAGCAGGCATTGCTTCTGCTCTGGCTCTGTAGGGTCTTGCTGCAGGGTAACTGAAGCTCCCAGGTGCTCTGGTCATACATTGGTAATTAATGGCTGCTCACAAATCTTCATTGATTAAGCTTTTTCAGAAATGATTTAAGCAAGAAACTTCATTTAAACCTTAAAATGGTGCCTGTGTTTGTCTTTCTTTCCTAACAGCTCGATTTATTTGTACCTCTTAAAGTGCTGGTTAAAACAGGCTTTATGCTAAATTTACTTTTGTTAGGCCAAAAATACATAATTAAGAAAGAATATTTATTGTAAATTTTTGGGATAAAAGTCAGATGAGCCTTTTTTCCTCCTTAGTGACAATCTGTCTCTCAGTTCAGGGTTTCTGGTGTGTCTCTGCTTTTTCTCCCTGGTTCAGGTAAAGTTTGAGCATGCTGTGTCCTTTAGAATGCCAGCAGATATTTGACATCATTAAAAACTGCTGTTATTTAATAAAAGGAAGTTGTATCTACCCTGGAGGGAATTAACTAATGACCTCTTGTTAACCATCGCCTTCAGGATCTTAGATCCTCCCTTTGCTTGCCTCATCCTTAGTCATACATTGGAAGAGGAAAACAGGCTTTTTTTCCCTCCCTCCTTCCCTCCCAACTCTTGAGCAGTTTCTCAACTGGAGGTGAACTGCTGCTTGACCC